CAAGACAGACAGACAGACAGACACACAGCCAGGTAGCACAAGACAGACAGACAGACAGACAGACAGCCAGGTAGCACAAGACAGACAGGTAAGTCAAGACACCTGCCAATAATTCTGACACTGCTGGACCTCAACTGGGTAGCGTAGGTGACGAGGATAAGTTGTCAAGTGTTGAGTAGAAGTCTTGACGCTCTCTATAACCAGTGGACGTGAGCTGTGTTAGTTACGGGTGCTTGTAGGCTGGTGTGGGGTGGGGTGTAGGCTGGGTGGGGTGGGTGTAGGCTGGTGTGGGGCTGGTGTGTGGCTGGTGTGGGGTGTAGGCTGGGTGGGGTGTAGGGCTGGTGTGGGTGTAGGCTGTGTGTGTGTAGGCTGGTGGTGTGGGTGGTGTGTAGGCTGGTGTGGGTGTGGGTGGGGTGTAGGCTGGTGTGGGGTGTAGGCTGGTGGGGTGTAGGCTGGTGTGGGGTGTAGGGCTGGTGTGTGGTGGTGGGTGTGTAGGCTGGTGTGGGGTGGTGGTCGTGGAGGAGGAGGGGGAAGTTTTATTAGCGAATCAAGGGTTTAGGAAGAAAGGAATCACGTGAGAATTAGACACCCCAGTTTATTTCACCTTAACACTAACCTAACCTAACCTAACCTAACCTAACCTAGGGTGCCTAATCTTCACGTCGTTATGTTAATGAGGCCAATATTAGACACAGGACAATCAGTTATACAGACGAGTAATCTATATAAAAAAACCTCCCATAATACATTGCGCTAACTCTGAGAAATATATATTTACAGACAAACAAACACATTGACGATACTAAACTGCTATATACTCGTACTCCCTTCAGATGAGAGGGAGGGAGATAAGAATTAACGAGGAAATAGCACAGATTCCAGACCACGACGACAACAACGGGTTTACTGGGTACTCTAAGGGGGGGAGGAGACCTGAGCAATGTTTGGTGTGTGAAGCACTCTCTATATCTCCTCCCCACTACCCTTTCCTTCCTCCCCACTACCCTTTCCTTCCTCCCCACTACCCTTTCCTTCCTCCCCACTACCCTTTCCTTCCTCTCCACTACCCTTTCCTTCCTCCCCACTACCCTTTCCTTCCTCCCCACTACCCTTTCCTTCCTCCCCACTACCCTTTCCTTCCTCCCCACTACCCTCTCCTTCCTCCCTCATAAGGTCGTCTTATTTTCAATGTGTGTACGTCGCAGTAAACACAGGTCATGTTTGAGTGATGCGTCGTCATTGGTCAACATAATTCTACAGTTAGCTCGTTCCTCTTGTTAGTAGAAGTCAAAGAACTAGAAAATAATTATATTTACCCCCTCTCCTCCCCCTTAATGAGTCAGAGTTCAAGTACCTAAAACACACTAATCATTATTATGTGAGGCGATATTTTTAGTGTGAAGTTAGCTGCGGACCAATCATAGGCTTCCACGTGTTAGCACAACCGTCCAATCAGAGAGCCTTATAGGTGGAGAGTAAATTTGGGGGAACTCAAAAGAAAAACTATAGTATAAAAGAACAAGATGGTGTAAATGCTCATGATACTGACGCTTTCTGGCAGGTTACCCAGGTGCCAACAGGAGGAGATACCAGCCTACATTAGTTTTAACTTAGTGTACGACTTCCCTGAAAAGAAGTCTCGAGAAAGTCTTGCATTTGACCAAGTGACCTCAGCCGGGGATTGTGTACCAGGTTTCAGCTCACTATTTTCCCGCGTCTTCCGAGCAAACACACACACACACACACACACACACACCTTTTCTACTTTCTTTGAAGATTCACACTGGTCTTTATTTATATAGGATTGATGTAAATAAATTATAACCTAATATATATATAGTTTAATTATCTTATCAAAGTAAATACATGGGTGATTCCTGTTAATTTCTCTGTATTAACTATGTATGATATAAAATATACATCACACTGGTTATACAATGCATCACACAATCAGAATTACCAACCTTACCAAATTAACATAGTCTCAGTCAGTGATGGTTGCAGAGGCCATCAGACCAAGGGGGGCAGAGTATTCTTTTGCTGACTGTACGTAAGTGCCTATAGGTTATAAGTAAATACAAAAAGTGTAGAATATTAGAATAAAAATAAACAATTAAATATACATAAATAGTAAGATAAACAACTGACAGTGAGAGGCGGTGTGTTGTGTTTATACTCGCTCTCCCTTGTTCTCTCACTATTAACCACTTCATTAATAATAATAATGGTTCCCCTAGTGTAACGAGGATGGCCGGCCCTCGGGCCACCTAGGCGTGAATTTGTTTAAGGCGTAGAAGCTGTAGCCAACACAACAACCACACTCTAACGTAACGAGCTGCATGACCCAGTGTTTAAGGTGTAGAAGCTGTCGCCAACACAACAACCACACCCTAAGTTAACGAGCTGCATGACCCATGACCCAATGTTTAAGGTGTAGAAGCTGTCGCCAACACAACCACACCCTAAGTTAACGAGTTGCATGACCCAGTGTTTAGGTGTAGAAGCTGTGCCAACAGCAACCACCCTGAGTTAACGAGCTGCATGACCCGGTGTTTAAGGTGTAGAAGCTGTCGCCAACACAATAACCACACCCTAAGTTAACGAGCTGCAAGACCCAGTGTTTAAGGTGTAGAAGCTGTCACTAACATACGAACCACACCCTGAGTTAACGAGCTGTATGACCCAGTGTTTAAGGTGTAGAAGCTGTCACCAACACAACAACCACACCCTAAGTTAACGAGCTGCAAGACCCAGTGCTTAAGGTGTAGAAGCTGTCACCAACACAACAACCACACACTAAGTCAACGAACTGCATGGCCCAGTGTTTAAGGTGTAGAAGCTGTCACCAACACAACAACCACACACTAAGTCAACGAACTGCATGGCCCAGTGTTTAAGGTGTAGAAGCTGTTACCAACACAACAACCACACACTAAGTTAACGAACTGCATGACCCAGTGTTTAAGGTGTAGAAGCTGTCACCAACACAACAACCACACACTAAGTCAACGAACTGCATGGCCCAGTGTTTAAGGTGTAGAAGCTGTCACCAACACAACAACCACACACTAAGTTAACGAGCTGCATGACCCAGTGTTTAAGGTGTAGAAGATGTCGCCAACACAACAACCACACACTAAGTTAACGAGCTGCATGACCCAGTGTTTAAGGTGTAGGCCAACACAACAACCACACCCTGAGTTAACGAGCTGCATGACCCAGGGTTTAAGGTGTAGAAGCTGTCGCCAACACAACAACCACACCCTGAGTTAACGAGCTGCATGACCCAGGGTTTAAGGTGCAGAAGCTGTCGCCAACACAACAACCACAACTTCTGAGTTAACGAGCTGCATGACTCAGTGCTTAAGGTGTAGAAGCCGTCGCCAACACAACAACCACACCCCGAGTTAACGAGCTGCATGACCCAGTGTTTAAGGTGCAGAAGCTGTCGCCAACACAACAACCACACCCTGAGTTAACGAGCTGCATGACCCAGTGTTTAAGGTGCAGAAGCTGTCGCCAACACAACAACCACACCCTGAGTTAACGAGCTGCATGACCCAGTGTTTAAGGTGTAGAAGCTGTCGCCAACACAACACCACACCCTGAGTTAACGAGTTGCATGACCAGTGTTTAAGGTGCAGAAGCTGTAGCCAATACAACAACCTCACCCTGAGTTAACGAGCTGCATGACCCAGTGTTTAAGGTGTAGAAGCTGTCGCCAACACAACAACCACACCCTAAGTTAACGAGCTGCATGACCCAGTGTTTAAGGTGTAGAAGCTGTCGCCAACACAACAACCACACCCTAAGTTAACGAGCTGCATGACCCAGTGTCAAGGAATAGTCCGAGAAGACCGGACAACTCCACTGGCTAACCATTACCCAGGAACACAATCCGCAAATCAATTACCATCCAGGTTCCCAATTACTGCTGGGTAGACAGAGGAAAATGACGGAAAGAAACTTGCCCAGAATTTCACCCTGCTCGGGGATCGAACCCGGCTTCACTCTTTTGATAGGCGAGCTTGCTGACCATTACACCACAAGTCTTCATTGAGTCACCACGGTTAACATATTTTATTTTGATAATGTGGTAGAAATTTTCTTAATCTTGGCAAACATTGAGAATGCATTAGGAAATAATTATTAGTAGATGTGAATACCTTCTATTAAAGAGAGAAATCAGTTACAGTATTAAGTATGCTAATTACAGTAATTTTCTTTGACTTAAGTAAAAAAGTAGCAGCAGTCAGAAGTCAGAAACGAAATTAAACTGAGGCAGAACAAATCACAAGGTGCAGAGATTCATCCAAGGAAAATGCATAAAAACACTAAATTAAGACCACACATGCAATGGGAATGCACAGATTAAAATAAATTCGGATAATGTGCGTATCTCTCATAAATGTGTCCAGGGTTCGAGTCCTGGACCGGAACACACAGGGGAAGGGTGTAACTCAACCAAGCATCGTAGGTTTCCTCCGGGTGGGTTCTTAGGTTTCCTCCGGGTGGGTTCTCAGGTTTCCTCCGGGTGGGTTCTCAGATTTTCTTCTGTACTAACACTCTAACATTCCTAAGAAAGTAACACAGAACAGACCAACCACCTGAACGGCTAGTAAGTAAGCTGGTAAGAGGTGAAATGATAAATACAAAATAATAATCCAATAAAATATTGTCAGACCAACGCTCACCAGCCACCTCACCTCCCCCCCAACACGGTACTGGTGGTGGACGAGCGTTGACCTGAAGCTACCTCAACACTTTTACTGTGGCCAAACTAAACCCTCGTGAAGTCCTGTTGCTTATGGCCTCATGAAAGTATCCAGCCAATGCAGTAGTTTAAATTTAATTAGCCTAAGAGAGCTAGTGTAACAGTAAAGACCAACTGGCAGGTCAAAGGTGTGTGTGTTTTTGTGACCTGTTGACCAAAATAGTTATGTATAGGTGTTAAAGATTAAGAGGTAAACTTTATTAATGAGATCATCTCTCTGGTGCAGGTACGAGGATGGGTACTGAGACGCGGCTGTCAGTGCTGGAGTCTTATTTGGTCTCCCTCACCTCCTCCAACCCTTCCTGGGGGCCTCATGACTTTCAGGAGAAAATACCACCTACAGGGACCTTCACAGACCGTCTACAGCAGGAGTACAACCCCACTAAGAGAGCTCAGATCCTGCGATCAGTTGACAGAGACGGATCCTTCGCTAGAGATCCTGTACCAGATGGGCCCTACTCTTCAGGTTCTACTACGGATGTTTCAGGAGCAGCAGTGAGGATTGAGTGGAATCCTAAACAGGGGCGGTACCTGGTGGCTGCAAGGGATATTAAGGCCGGGGAAGTGGTGTTCGGAGAGGAGCCGTTGGTAGTAGCTCCCAAGCCAGGCGCAGGGTCCACTTGTTTGGCTTGCCTGAGGGCACTGAAGGAGTCTTGGGTTGGGTGTAACGGCTGTGGCTCTCCACTGTGTTCACCACACTGTGGAGGCGCTGGCCATACAGCCGAAGAGTGCAAGAGACTGACTGGGTTGGGTTTGAAGCAAGATTCGAGCAATAAGAACTTACTGATCAAACAACTCAACGTTCTCCTGACGCCGCTAAGAACGTTGTTACTGATGGAAAAGTCGCCAGGAAAGGCCGCCGTTATCGCTGCGCTCCAGAGCAACGCAGATTTAAGACAGAAGCTGCCTATTGGACGCTTCGTGGAGGAAAAGGTGGCTGGGCCTTTGCGACGCCAACTGAGTCTTCAGGTGGGATCGGACATAGTTCAACACCTGTGTGGTGTGTTCGACACCAACGCCTTCGTCATTAGCCTCGGCAATAACAGATGTGGACGTGGGCTATTTCCTCTCGGAGCATTAATGAACCATTCCTGTATTCCCAACACACAGCACTGGTACAAGGACGGTGTGTTGATTGTCCGTGCATTGAAAGACATCCCCAAGGGCGAGTCCCTCACCAACACCTACGCGCCTACACTCTGGGGCACTCAAGCCAGGGCAGCTCACCTAGCCGGCTCTAAACTCTTCACATGCACCTGTGAGCGTTGCCTAGACCCTACAGAACTATGTTCTCACATTAGCTCCGTCGCATGTCGGGGGTGCAAAGACGGCCTCCTGGTGCCTCCATATGCTCCCCGGGGACCTTGGGAGTGTCATATCTGCGGCACTAGTGTCTCTTCGGGCGCTGTGGAGGCCATGGTGCGGGCTGCCGGGGCTGCAGTGAGCCGTGTGCCTCAGGGAGACAAGGCTTCCCTCAGTGCCACCGTCGACCATCTGTCTAGGGTGGTGGGCGGCGGGCACTATGTTACCGTAGAGCTCAAGTTCGCCCTGGTGCTGGCCATCATGACCCAGCCTCTCTCAGGTCAGCTGCCCTCACATAGTTTCTCCTGCCCTAGTGTATCATCATCATCATCATCATATACTTCCACAATCTTATATTCAGTATATATATATATATATATATATATATATATATATATATATATATATATATATATATATATATATATATATATATATATATATATATATATATATATATATATTTGGAGGACACTAAAAGCTGGTATGATTGTGAATATAAATATAAGACAAACTATGAATTAATAGCACCATTGAAAACTATACTAATTTAGGTACAGTTTATCTGTATACTACGATGGTAAATCACATTTGAAATAAAACAGAGTAAATTCCCTCTCATGAATTAATTCCCACTAAGCTGTACTGCTTGGTAATCACGTCGGCTGCATTTTAAGATTTAAGTGAACACTTATCCTTATTTAGTAAAAATATTATATATATTAACTTGTATAAAGTAATAATGCTTGAAAGGAAATTGTGAATTAAATATCCTGAAAAAAGCATATAATGCCCACACCAACTACAAGAAATTATAAACAGATGTGACCGAGGATGACCTCTCAAGAGTGGTGGACCTGACCAAGGAACTGCTGCGGTTGGCTGCCTGTATCGACCCAGGAATGTCCAGATTTAGAGGTAGGTCCACTCTCCAGTCCCTAATATATGATGTAATCCTCTCATCCAATGACTCTGACATCCACATATTTATTTTTTAATTACTTTACTTTTATCCTCTTCACCACTGATCAGCTCGTTAGCCGCTTGGCCGATCGGTCACGTCTCTGTTACGCACTGTTGGCAAGTACTAGGCATGCACCGGCTACTGAATGTGACTGAACCTTCTCCACTGCTGGTCAAGTCTGGCCAAGAGTTCACAACTCTCACTCAGAAAAAGTTTGCCCTCATGCAGTTTTCTGAACCTGCGGCTACTTCAATCTTGAGCTGTGACCCCTTGTGGGGCGAGCGTCCGCCAGCTCCAAGTAAGGACACTCGACTGAGTAGTGCCCCTTGAGATGCTTATACACCTCAATTAGGTCGCCCCTTGCCCGTCTGTAGTATAAGCTAGGTAAGTTCAGGCGCTCCAATCTCTCAGGGTAGCTGAGGTGCCGAAGTGCAGGCACCAGTCTGGTGGCCCTCCTTTGAACATTTTCAACCAACTGACAGTCCCAAGCATATCTCGGGGACCAGACGGGGTGACAGTACTCCAGATGGGGAAGCACTTCACTCTTGAAGATCGTTACGAGGGACGGACCATCTAGATATCTGAACGACCATCTTATAAGACCCAATAATCCATTTGCCTGATTGACCTTCTTCTCGCAATGGCCCGAGAACTTCAGCTCATTGTCAACATACACACCTAGGTCCTTCTCACATTCAGTCTCAAATAGTGCAGCTTCTTCATCCAGTTGGGACATATGGTACGCCTCCTTACCGTTGGTACGCCCCAGGTACATCCTCTTACACTTCGTGACATTGAATCTCAGCAGCCATTTCTTCGGCCATTCCTGGAGCCCACAGAGGTCCTTCTGCAGCTCTTCACAGTCCGCTTGGTTCTTGATTTCCCGAAATAACTTGGCGTCATCGGCAAACATTTGTATGGAGGAGTGTACAGCGTCAGGCATGTCATTTATGAAACAAACAAACAACAGCGGGCCCAATACACTGCCCTGTGGTACCCTGCTTGTGACAGGTACAGATGATGATTTCGTGCCATTAATCACCACACACTGCTTGCGGTCATGCAGAAAATCTTCTATCCACGCTAGGACATTTCTTCGAATTCCGTACCCTTCCAGTTTGATTTTCAGCCTTTCGTGAGGTACACTGGCAAAATCTAGGTAAATATTGTCGATATTACCACCCCGTTCCAGAATATGGGTCCAAATATCCAATACCTTGAGCAATTGTGTTAAGCAGGAGCGCCCCGGCATAAAACCGTGATGGCAATCCTTTACGAGGTTGTTTGGTAGTAGGTGTTCCATCGCGGCATCTCTGATATACTCTCAAGTACTTTACATATTATGCTGGTCAGGCTCACCGGTCTATAGTTATTCGTGGAGTGACGATCGCCCTTCTTAAAGATAGGACTCACATAAGCCACTTTCCATTCACTGGGGACCATTTGTTCATCCAGGCATTTACAAAACAAGATCTTCAGGGGCTCGGCAAGCTCGTTGCACAACTCTCTTAGCACTCTAGGATGCACCATGTCAGGGCCGGGACATACAAAAATTGTTTATACTGTAGCTCAAGTAACCTAATTTTATATATAAATGGATCATAATAATATTCGCAAACATTGTCATGATTTTGCCTCCGTTCGTTCAAAAGCTTGATATTATTCAAGTTAAAAAGCATTATACGTTAGGCTCCCATAAAATACTTTCATTTTCTCTTAAGAACTCCCAAGTCTCAGTGGTAACTAAAGTATTATTAAAGTACTCTCTCTCTCTCTCTCTCTCTCTCTCCAGGAGTGTTGCTGCTAGAGTTGATAAAGTCAGTCACTGAGTTGATGAAAAGACGGAACATTAACTGCGTCGCTTCGACGGCTGCCGCTACTACTACTGATACAACTTCTACTACTATATCTGCTGATGACTTGGATGATGATAATAATAGTAATGAAGATGGCGACAGTAAGGACCACTCTACCACCAGCCTCCACAATAACGATGTCCAGGTACTAAGATTATTAATACTGTCTGATGATCTTATAGGGATATTACATTAATTAAACAGGGGCAGATCCAGGAGTATTAACAGGGGGAGTCCAAGAAGTTGTAGGTGGGGGTACATGACGAGCTGTAGCCCCCATAATTTTGTTTGAAATTTGACCAATATATCATGGGCATTTTGAGGCCACTCTGAAGCCATGTGTACTTGATGTTAGGAGATATTCTGAGGTCAATAGTAATTACTTTTTACTATACAAAAATGCCTGAGTACAATACTGCATTAAAGAAATAGTATTGGAATTTTATGGTGAAAAGGAAGATCCGGACCCCCAGGACCCACCTGGATCCGCCCCTGATAAACGTCGAGTTTGAGAGAGAGAGAGAGAGAGAGTCTGAAATAGTGCAATAGAAAAATCTTCTCGTTTTCATAATGTCTTGTCTTCATTTCAGTCCCTCCTAAAGCTGATGGAGGAGTGTGAGGCGATTCTGCAGTATGACGGGCGCCTGGATGAGGTACTCCCCCTCAAGCTTGACCTCCAGCATCTGCAGCACCTGTATTTTACCTCAGAAAGAACGACTCAAAATTTTGTAATAGGGGCTGAAGTTTCTGAATAGGCTCTCAAATATTCTGAATTGGGGAGAAAGAGTTCTGAAGGAGGAGGATATAGATTTTTAATGATTGATGATTCAGAGTTCAAGAGTGTTCAACAGTTTAATTTTAGGAGGAACATTCAAGAGTTCAGAGGAAATGTAATATAGAGTTCCGTTCAAGAGTTAAGTATGATTTAAAGATTTGTTCAAGAAATTTATTTTAAGGGATTGCTTAAGAGTTTTAAATGACCACAGAAGAGTTTTATTTTAACGGAGAGCAAAAGTTTTGCTTCTCAAGAGTTTTCTGTTTACACCACTTGCTATATTATACTGTAGTTGTACAGGCTACATTTGTTATATATTTCTATACTTTTTATTGTTCATGTTTGTTTACGAACGATTTGTTATATATTTCTGTACTTATTATCGTTTCTTTGATTATGAAGCATTTGTTATGTATTTGTAATTTAACATGATGTGTTGTTTTGTCTGGATATTTGTTTATGGCGCATTTGCTAGATATATACAATGAAAGACAAAAGTCGTGTCGTGAAATTTGGTGAAAATATTTGCCGTAGGGCTAAGCTTTTGGTGCGCTCTGCCTTGTGGTAGGGGGCTCTCATAATGTTTCACGAGTTATATTTAATTTCCGGACAAAACCGTGATACAACTTTTGTCTTTGATTGTACATCTGAAACACAAAAACATGCAGATCAACACAAGATGCGCGAATTTTTAAATTCCACTAAAACATTTTATGAACAAATCACTCATGGCGCACCCCTCCCTCCCTCCGCTCATCCGACGGTAACTCCCTAATTAAAGACGATAAAGACATCCTTCAGCGCTGGAAAGAGCACTACCATTCACTGCTCAACCGAAACACCGATGTGGATGTCCTGACTACCCAGCAGGTCCCTCAGCATCCAAAGCTGACCCACCTCAGCTATCCTCCATCCCTGGATGAGGTAGCTACTGCCATCAAACAGATGAAAAATAAAAAAAGCCTCAGGGCCTGACGGAATCCCAGCCGAGGTGTATAAAGCAGGAGGACCTCTGCTTACTAGCCGTCTCCACTCTCTCATGGAGAATATATGGGAAAAGGAGGAAATCCCCAAGCTCTTAAAGACGCCTCCATTGTCAATATTTATAAGAACAAGGGAGACCGGTCAGACTGTGGCAACTACCACGGGATCTCGCTGCTGTCCGTAGCTGGCAAGATTATCGCTTGAGTCCTCCTAAACAGACTTCTTACCGAGGCGAAAAACTTCCTCCCAGAATCTCAATGTGGCTTTAGACCATTACGTGGCACCACTGACATGATCTTTGCTGCCCGCCAGATACAGGAAAAGTGCAGAGAACAGCGTCGTGACCTGTACATGGCCTTCATCGACCTAACCAAGGCCTTCGACTCGGTCAACAGGGAAGCCTTCTGGCAGACCCTCAGCCATTTTGGCTGCCCACCAAAATTCATTGCCATTGCGAGGCAACTCCACGATGGCACGAGCGGCAGTGTCCTGCACAATGGCACCCAGTCTGAGTTCTTCCCCATTCAAACAGGGGTTAAACAAGGAAGTGTACTGGCACCAATTCTCTTTTCCATTTTCTTGGCTGCCTTCCTTACTCGTGCCAGTGCCAGTTTAGCCAGCGGGGTGGACATCCAGTACCGGATGAAGGATCTTTACAATAAGACGCCTCCAGGCAAGAACAAAGGTGTCGCTCACACTGAATGCGACCAACAGGAGACCCTGATCACCTACACAGATGCGTATGCACACTTCGGCCTTGAAGTGACTATACGTAAGATTCAGATTCTCTTTCAACCTGACCCTGGTTCAGCCACACCTCCACCGTCCATCCAGCTTAACGGTACTACCCTCTCTAATGTTACCCACTTCCAGTATCTCGGCTCCCACCTGTCCACCACTACGGACATCGATAAAGAGATTCAGCACCGGATCAGATGTGCATCTCAAGCCTTTGGCAGACTCCGAAACCGTGTCTTCAGCTGTAGGGAACTGAAATCATCTACAAAGCTGCACGTATATCGAGCAGTGGTCCTCCCCACGCTGCTATATGGCAGCGAGACATGGGTCACATACAGGAGGCACCCCAAGGCACTTGAAAACTTTCACCAATGTAGTGTACGTTTCATCCTCAGAGTTTGCTGGGAAGACAAGAGAACAAATGCCAGTATTCTTGCTGACACCAACACCAGGAGCATTGAGGCTGCCATTATTCATGATTAACTACTTTGGACTGGCCATGTTACCGCATGGACAACAGTAGACTGCCAAAGCAGCTACTTTACAGTCGCCTAACGAATAGTAATTGTAATTGTAACGCTGGCGGGCAAGTGAAAAGTTATAAGGATAGTCTTAAGACAAACCTGAAAAAGTGCCAAATCGACCCCCTCACCTGGGAGACGATGACTGCACACAGTAACGCTTGGAGGAGCACCACACGAGAAGGTGTCAATACTTTCGACTTAACCCGACTGGAAACCGAGGCAGACAAGCGCCAACGCCGGAAACACGAAACCGCTGCCCTTCCCGCACTATATGTAGCCCTCCATATGTGCAACAACTGTGAACGACCCTCTCGGTCCCGTATTGGCCTCTTTAATCACCCAGAATTCACCAACGAAGGTGACGTCTTTAATAACTCATATCATTGTCTCATAGCTGGATGATCGTCATACTCGATTCCGAGTGACAGCAAAGTAGTAGTAGAAGTACTTGACGGTTTTATTATATATTTGTTTTGTTAAGGTGAGTGTTGTTTTGTGCGGATATTTGTTTATGGAGCATTTGCTAGATACTTAAGTTAATAATTTAGTATATTTTAAATACTTTTACAGGCGGCGTTGATAATGTTATACTGAATCTCGTTTTTGTACACTGATCATGTTACGTACATTAAGTGTAGTCACAGTTACTGTAAAACAAAATGATGTCTTATTTACTTATACAATAAACAGCACAGGAAGATGTGTTTTATATCATCGAACATCACTTGTAAGACTCGGCTTCTTTGTGTTGTGTTTTTGTGTGTGTAAAAGACGAACATACGTGGCGGTGTATATATTACCCCATAGGTGTATATACGTATGATTGTGTTTTCAGGGGAACATGGCGAGCAGGACGAGCCCACCCAGCTGGGGGGCATTGGGGGAGGGGGAGGGGGGGAGGCGCTGTAAGCCCCCCAGAAATTTTTTGAAACCTGACCAATATATCATGGGCATTTTGAGGTCATTTCGAAGCCATCTGCTCTTGATATTAGAAGATATTCTGAGGTCAATAGTAATTACTTTTTACTATACAAAAATGCCTGAGTACAATACTGCATTAAAGAAAAAGTATTGGAAATTTTTTAATGAAAACTGGGGTCCGGACTCCCATGACTCCCCTGGATCCGCTCTTGGTTTGTCAGTGTGCGTCTGTGTACAGGTATCTAATTTTGTATCGACTGTGTGTATATATATATATATATATATATATATATATATATATATATATATATATATATATATATATATATATATATATATATATATATATATATATATATTTTTTTTAGGGATTAGCCCTGGGGCTGGGTCATTGACCACATTAGTGCAGAGGCCGAAAATATAATAATAATAATAATAATGATGATGATGATGATGATGATGATGATGATGATGATGATGATGATGATGATGATGATGATGATGATGATTAATAAATTTTAATAAAATTTATAACAAAATAATAGTAATAATTATAAAAAATAATAACCATAAATAACACAAAAATACCAAAAATAAATAAATAAAGTGAGAAACGACATACATGTAGTTTACGTAGGCTACATATTTACATCAATTGCAGTGTGTAAATAAATCAAATAAATAAATTAACTCACACAGTATCAAAAAACAGCAAAATTACCAAAAATAGGAAAACATGACTGACCTCTGCTTATAAATTGTGAGTTTTGTGTAAAATGTATATGCTGTACATTGTGGCGAGACAGCGGGTGGTAAGCGGCCTCTGCTCAACAACATTCCCGCGATTTACTGTACGAGGAGGCAGATGACCGATTACAGTTATGATTATGGGAACCTGGAGCCAGATAAAATAATAAACTATTTTAGAAAAAGATTAAATGCCATGAAACAATACAACATAAATACCACCTGAAAATAAGCCTCACAGATTAATTAGCTTGAAGATTAACTACCCTACATTTATATTAGGTTAACATTAGGGTGGTTAATTTTCCGGTGCAATAACCTGGGGTGTCTAAGTTTCAGCTGATTTAATTAATTCTATTTCAAGAATGTTTTGTGGTGGGTACCTCAGAAATTTAAGAAGTGTCAAGTAATTATTACCCATAGAGAATATTCTATTTGTCCCGAGGGAAATACAATGCCATCGAAAATGAATGCTCAGCTCTTACTATATACGGTAACAATATTAATTCTGGGTATTCTTTTTCGATCATCTATTAATTATAACGCTAGTGTTTATTTTGAGGTTTGGATACGATTTATTTTTGGTCTGGTCATAGAAAAATTATCATAGAAATTTGAAAATAAAACAAAAACCAACTGAAAGCCACCTGTTCCACTGAAAATTTTTAATAGGTTCAGTCAATTGACACTTGACAATTACTGCAGTTCTTTATGTCCTTATTTACAGTTAACTAGAGAGAAAAATCATAAATTTAAAACCATCATCAAAATCCTCTTATGATCATAGTTTCATTTCTTTAATTAAATTTCTTTGGACAATTTATTTTTAAACCTCAGTACATAATGGACACTGTGCAATAAAAATGAGAATATCTGCCGAGTTTAGTTCTTTTCTAAGTATTTATTAATATTATCATAGTTATGTGCATATAATATTCGTTACAATAAATATACAGTACGGCAAACAGTATGAAGACGTATTATAATAAAACAGGTAAAAAAAATACCGCTCAAAATCCGTTCTAAATGTTGTTTCAATGCTTAAATCTTATCCTGTTCACGATAATCCTCCTCGTATACGCGCGGCGTTCAAGCCCCGCCCCTTGTGCGTATATCCTGGGGAGAGTCAGTAACGCAGCACTATGAAGCCCTGTTGGCAGCCCTGGGGTTTAGCCGCAGTGTCGGATAATCCGTGGGACGAGCAAATGCAATGGTGGCGGATGTACGGCAACTTACAATATCTATTGCATATATTTTCTTAAAGACTGTTCATATTATGTATTTTTATTGTTATATAATATAGAACTCTATTTAAAAATCTCTCCGTAAAATAATGAATTTATTTTAGTTTATGTAATCATATTTATAAAGTGAAGAATTATGCTCTGTTGTCGTACACGTTGTAAGCTACATCCTCAGCACCAAAATTCCGTATATGGATCAAAAAGGTGAACCAGGATTGGTTGCCTCTCGCCGCTAATCTCTTACGTCACGAGGCTGGGCGAATGTGAGTTGTGATTGGTTGTCTCTCCATGATGGTTGATAATCCCTAAATACTCAGAGCGATAAATGATGAGTGAGAAAAACAAAGATATTTGTGTAGTGGTGTTCTTATTCCTTCAGTTAAGCTTAAGTTTATATTATCAAACCACACTGAAGAGAAAAAACAAACTAAGTATCATATGAGAGAAAATTAAGATAATCTCTGCGTTAGGGTAAACACACTACCAAGTCTCGCCTGATTCTATAACTTACAATTAAATAAATATTATAATCATCTCCCGATACATTACCCGTTGG